TTGACTTTGTACATTTTGAACTCAAATACCTGTACTTTCTACTTCTCACATGTTGAACTCAAATACCTGTACTTTCTACTTCTCTCATTTTGAACTCAAATACCTGTACTTTCTACTTCTTACATGTTGAACCCAAATACCTGTACTTTCTACTTCTCACATGTTGAACTCAAATACCTGTACTTTCTACTTCTCTCATTTTGAACTCAAATACCTGTACTTTCTACTTCTTACATGTTGAACCCAAATACCTGTACTTTCTACTTCTTACATGTTGAACCCAAATACCTGTACTTTCTACTTCTTACATGTTGAACTCAAATACCTGTACTTTCTACTTCTTACATGTTGAACCCAAATACCTGTACTTTCTACTTCTTACATGTTGAACTCAAATACCTGTACTTTCTACTTCTTACATGTTGAACTCAAATACCTGTACTTTCTACTTCTTACATGTTGAACCAAATACCTGTACTTTCTACTTCTCTCATTTTGAACTCAAATACCTGTACTTTCTACTTCTTACATGTTGAACTCAAATACCTGTACTTTCTACTTCTTACATGTTGAACCCAAATACCTGTACTTTCTACTTCTCACATGTTGAACTCAAATACCTGTACTTTCTACTTCTCACATGTTGAACACAAATACCTGTACTTTCTACTTCTTACATGTTGAACTCAAATACCTGTACTTTCTACTTCTTACATGTTGAACTCAAATACCTGTACTTTCTACTTCTCACATGTTGAACTCAAATACCTGTACTTTCTACTTCTTACATGTTGAACTCAAATACCTGTACTTTCTACTTCTTACATGTTGAACTCAAATACCTGTACTTTCTACTTCTTACATGTTGAACTCAAATACCTGTATATTCTACTTCTTACATGTTGAACTCAAATACCTGTACTTTCTACTTCTTACATGTTGAACTCAAATACCTGTACTTTCTACTTCTTACATGTTGAACTCAAATACCTGTACTTTCTACTTCTTACATGTTGAACACAAATACCTGTACTTTCTACTTCTTACATGTTGAACTCAAATACCTGTACTTTCTACTTCTTACATGTTGAACTCAAATACCTGTACTTTCTACTTCTTACATGTTGAACTCAAATACCTGTACTTTCTACTTCTTACATGTTGAACTCAAATACCTGTACTTTCTACTTCTTACATGTTGAACACAAATACCTGTACTTTCTACTTCTTACATGTTGAACCCAAATACCTGTACTTTCTACTTCTTACATGTTGAACTCAAATACCTGTACTTTCTACTTCTTACATGTTGAACTCAAATACCTGTACTTTCTACTTCTCACATGTTGAACTCAAATACCTGTACTTTCTACTTCTTACATGTTGAACCCAAATACCTGTACTTTCTACTTCTTACATGTTGAACTCAAATACCTGTACTTTCTACTTCTTACATGTTGAACTCAAATACCTGTACTTTCTACTTCTTACATGTTGAACACAAATACCTGTACTTTCTACTTCTTACATGTTGAACTCAAATACCTGTACTTTCTACTTCTTACATGTTGAACTCAAATACATGTACTTTCTACTTCTTACATGTTGAACTCAAATACCTGTACTTTCTACTTCTTACATGTTGAACACAAATACCTGTACTTTCTACATCTTACATGTTGAACTCAAATACCTGTACTTTCTACTTCTTACATGTTGAACCCAAATACCTGTACTTTCTACTTCTTACATGTTGAACTCAAATACCTGTACTTTCTACTTCTTACATGTTGAACACAAATACCTGTACTTTCTACATCTTACATGTTGAACTCAAATACCTGTACTTTCTACTTCTTACATGTTGAACTCAAATACCTGTACTTTCTACTTCTTACATGTTGAACTCAAATACCTGTACTTTCTACTTCTTACATGTTGAACACAAATACCTGTACTTTCTACTTCTTACATGTTGAACTCAAATACCTGTACTTTCTACTTCTTACATGTTGAACTCAAATACCTGTACTTTCTACTTCTTACATGTTGAACTCAAATACCTGTACTTTCTACTTCTCTCATTTCCCAAACAGCTGGTTCCTTTAGTCTGAATGTGTGTTGATGCGTGATCATTATTCTTTAGAGTCATTGCGTGCCTATTGATTTGAACACGATCCGTGTATCCATCATTTCCTGGTCTTCTCTAAAGAAGAGGGACCAATGGAAACGTTGTCATGTTGCCGTTGTTCAGCATGGAAACATTCATTAGCTAACAATGACATTATTGTTCTATTAATATAAAGGGAGGTCAGGTACTCTTTAAAACTGCTGCTAGTTATGGGAACTTTTTACTGAAGTACATTTCAAAGCCTCTTTACTTTGACTTGAGGAAAGAAGTTTAGTCAGTACTTCTACTTTTACCAGACTATTTTTAAACACGAGTATCTGTACTTCTACTTGAGTAAAGGATGTGTGTACTTGTGTATTTCATGTTGGAGTGTGTGGTACATGCTGACCTGTTGTAGGTGTCGGGGGGGCGCGGGTCGGTGGGGGAGCTCAGCTCGCTGCGGGACCTCTTGTCGTCGCTGCTGTCGCTGTCCGCCTTCTGGCTCAGAGACTCGGACATCACCTCGTTCCTGCAGAGAGGGAGAGGAGAGGGGCTCCATCAGGACTAACATCGGGAAAACTGTCGGATAACGGATCGATACGGAGCGCAGAGAGACTTCCTGTCCGGTGTAACGGTAATTTATAAGCAGCGAATCCTCCTGCATCCATCAGTGACTCTGACTGAAGGCTGATCACTGCTTAGAGAGGGTGATTACAGCGCTCTATGATGTTAAATAATGTCATGAAAAGGTCATTCTAGAAACAAAACTGTCTTAGTCGTTTTTTACGAGCAACTTAATGCAACTGGATTTACTAAATGTATGTTCACTGTATGTCAAATATTTCAAAAATAAAAGCAGTTAGATTTAATTTAAAACACATATATATATATATTTAAAAAAGAGATTTCAAAATAAAAGCACATGTAATAAAAAACATATACAGTATATCATTTTTTTTTAATGTATTTCAAAATAAGAGCACATTTAGATTCAATCAAAAAAAAAATAATAATATTTTTTAAAAATCGGGATTTCAAAATAAAAGCACATTTAGATTTAATAAAAAATATATTATATTTAAAAAAGGTATTTCAAAATAAAAGATGTTTAGAAATGTAGATTGAATAAAAAGAAAAAAACCCAAATGTATATATTTGTTAATGGATTTCAAAATAAGAGCCTGCTGAGCACTCGCCTGTCCTTCAGCACGATGTACTGGTGCGGCACGAGGCCTCGGCTGCCGTTGCTCCGCCCCTCCCACCAGTCATGTGACGCGCGCTGGAACAGCTGCAGCGACGCCCCCTTTTTAAAGGAGAGTTCACGAACCGACCGACCCACGTAGTCGAACCTCGCCACCGCCTCCACGCCTTCACCCTCTATAGGGGGGGGGGGGGGAGAGAGGAGGGAGGGGGGAGATGAAGAGAAGAGCCACCTGTCAATCAAACGTCTCTAAGGCTTTTGTTCCTCCCCATTGCTACACCAATCAGATAACAGTATTGAAACAGTATTTTTCTATTAAATCGGAAACGGATAAGATAGATGAGAAGGGAGGCAGGATGAAAGAGGGGGGGGGGGAGGAGAAGTCTCCATGGCTGCTGTTGCCGTAGCAACCTCTCTCCAGCAGAGACACACACACACACACACACACACACACACACAACACACACACACACACACACACACACACACACACACACACACACACAGGGGGGAGTGTGTGGGAGGATGTTGTGAAGGTCAGAGGTCGGCGTACCCTCGTCGCTGGTCTGAGTCTCGGTGCCTCCATCAGGCTCTGCTTCCTCCAGAGCTCCTGGTTCACTGAAGGGACTCTCACTGAGGAGGAGGAGGAGGAGGAGGAGGAGGAGGAGGAGGAGGAGGAGGAGGAGGAGGAGGAGGAGGAGGAGGAGGAGGAGGAGGAGGAGGAGGAGGAGGAATAAGAGGAAGAATCAGATTAACACAGGATCCGAAATGGAGGATGCACAGATGGAAGAAAAGGCTGCCAATGAAGCGTTTAGACAGCAGAACATGATTATAGATTCTAAATACATTTCAAACTAAAACCAAAACCGCTGAAGAAAGACTTGCAACATTTCCCAATCTTTCAAAATGTCAAGCAAAACATTTCTATAATCTTGGGAGTGTTGTTTCTTAAATTAAAGGGGCCCTATTCTGAATAATGTTCAAAAAGCTCTTTATTTTTCTCACGCTGCAGCACCTCTTTTCACCCTCTGTCTGAAACCAGAGCCCAGTCTGCTCTGATTGGTTAGCTGGCCGGCTCTGTTGTGATTGGTCAACCAGCTTAGAGATGTCCCCTCCCTTACCCTATCACGTACAATGTGTTGGAGCGATAGCCAATAGAAGCGAAAGTGTTCCAAAGTGATGACACTGTGTTCAGGAACTTTAGGATTTTAGCCTTTTGCAGACCATTTACATGCACTAAAACCTATATGACACACTACAGGGAAGGGGAAAACACCCCAAAAAACAGAATAGGACCTCTTTAAGGAAAGTGTTCTGATTGGTCCCCTCACACCCCAAAAAGCAGAATATGGCCTCTTTAAGGAAAGTGTTCTGATTGGTCCCCTCACACCCCAAAAAGCAGAAGAGAGCCTCTTTAAGTAAAGTGTTCTGATTGGTCCCCGCTCACACCCCACAAAACAGAATAGGGCCTCTTTAAGTAAAGTGTTCTAATTGGTCCCCTCACGCCCCAAAAACAGAATAGGGCCCCTTTAAGTAAAGTGTTCTGATTGGTCCCCTCACACCCCAAAAAGCAGAATAGGGCCTCTTTAAGTAAAGTGTTCTGATTGGTCCCCTCACACCCCAAAAAACAGAATAGGGCCCCTTTAAGTAAAGTGTTCTGATTGGTCCCCTCACACCCCAAAAAACAGAATAGGGCCTCTTTAAGTAAAGTGTTCTGATTGGTCCCCTCACACCCAAAAAACAGAATAGGGCCTCTTTAATTAAAGTGTTCTGATTGGTCCTCTTTAATTAAAGTGTTCTGATTGGTCCTCTTTAATTAAAGTGTTCTAATTGGTCCCCTCACACCCCAAAAACAGAATAGGGCCCCTTTAAGTAAAGTGTTCTGATTGGTCCCCTCACACCCAAAAAACAGAATAGGGCCCCTTTAAGTAAAGTGTTCTGATTGGTCCCCTCACACCCCACAAAACAGAATAGGGCCTCTTTAAGTAAAGTGTTCTGATTGGTCCCCTCACACCCCACAAAACAGAATAGGGCCTCTTTAAGTAAAGTGTTCTGATTGGTCCCCTCACACCCCACAAAACAGAATAGGGCCTCTTTAAGTAAAGTGTTCTAATTGGTCCCCTCACGCCCCAAAAACAGAATAGGGCCCCTTTAAGTAAATTGTTCTGATTGGTCCCCTCACACCCCAAAAACAGAATAGGGCCTCTTTAAGTAAAGTGTTCTGATTGGTCCTCTTTAATTAAAGTGTTCTGATTGGTCCCCTCACCAGTACTGGTCCCCTGTCATGCACTTCTCGTAGACGGGCCCCGGCAGCTCCTTGGTGTCGGGGAAGATGTTGTCGTGGTTGAGGATGACCGTCTTGATGACCTCATTAACGTGCGCCTGGCAGGCCACCTGGTCCAGGGCGTCGGGGGTGGGCAGCAGCGTCGGCCCGAACACGATGGCCAAGTTCCCAGAATCCATCATGTTCTCATCGCTGTACTGGGACAGACTGGGAGAAACATTGGGGGAATAAGTTCACTTTGAAAAGCTTTTTTTACACTTGGTTGTTTCTGATCACTTGTTATTATCAAAAATGTGAGGCTAAAATCCTCCAAACTTTCTAAATCTATGACATGAAGCTCAGCGCAAGTTCAAACAGGAAGACCTTCTTTACTCATTCATTTATTATGCTATGTTACTACTCTCTCTGATCGGGGGCGTCCCTCCCCAGCTTAACCAATCACGCTCTATTCTCACAAGCCTATCATTGCGCTCCGCTAACCCTTTTAAATCTGCTCTCCCCTCTGACAGCTGTCATTTCAGGTGACTTGACGAAACCCTCCTCCACCCCTTTTCACCTCCTGTCCTTCTGAATCCAGGGTCAAGCTAAGCCACTCCCCTTCAGACCGACCCCAACTATCCATTCACCACCACCAGGGTCAAGCTAAGCCACTCCCCTTCAGACCGACCCCAACTATCCATTCACCACCACCAGGGTCAAGCTAAGCCCCTCCCCTTCAGACCGACCCAACTATCCATTCACCACCACCAGGGTCAAGCTAAGCCCCTCCCCTTCAGACCGACCCAACTATCCATTCACCACCACCAGGGTCAAGCTAAGCCACTCCCCTTCAGACCAACCCCAACCATCCATTCACCACCACCAGGGTCAAGCTCCTCCCCTTCTGACCGAACCCAACCATCCATTCACCACCACCAGGGTCAAGCTAAGCCCCTCCCCTTCAGACCGACCCAACTATCCATTCACCACCACCAGGGTCAAGCTAAGCCACTCCCCTTCAGACCGACCCCAACCATCCATTCACCACCACCATGGTCAAGCTAAGCCACTCCCCTTCAGACCAAACCCAACCATCCATTCACCACCACCAGGGTCAAGCTAAGCCCCTCCCCTTCAGACCGAACCAACCATCCATTCACCACCACCAGGGTCAAGCTAAGCCCCTCCCCTTCAGACCGACCCCAACCATCCATTCACCACCACCAGGGTCAAACTAAGCCACTCCCCTTCAGACCGACCCCAACCATCCATTCACCACCACCAGGGTCAAGCTAAGCCCCTCCCCTTCAGACCGAACCAACTATCCATTCACCACCACCAGGGTCAATCTAAGCCCCTCCCCTTCAGACCGAACCCAACCATCCATTCACCACCACCAGGGTCAAGCTAAGCCACTCCCCTTCAGACCGACCCCAACCATCCATTCACCACCACCAGGGTCAAGCTAAGCCCCTCCCCTTCAGACCGAACCAACCATCCATTCACCACCACCAGGGTCAAGCTAAGCCCCTCCCCTTCAGACCGACCCCAACTATCCATTCACCACCACCAGGGTCAAGCTAAGCCACTCCCCTTCAGACCGACCTCAACCATCCATTCACCACCACCAGGGTCAAGCTAAGCCCCTCCCCTTCAGACCGAACCCAACCATCCATTCACCACCATCAGGGGCAAGCTAAGCCACTCCCCTTCAGATCGACCCCAACCATCCATTCACCACCACCAGGGTCAAGCTAAGCCCCTCCCCTTCAGACCGAACCAACTATCCATTCACCACCACCAGGGTGTAGACCCGGGGGGTTTCATCGTATCGGGTCTCCCCTCCCGAATGATACTCCTGCACAACGAGGCCTAATCGCCAAAACTCCATTACATTCATTTGTGTATTGCTGGCAATAAATATGTATTCTTACATCAAAACCGTCTCTCCTGATTGAAGTATATTTGGACCGTTGTAGGGCTAAAAAACAACAATTAAGGAACCAGGGGATGGGGGGTTATAATTATTGAAGACAACTCAGGATTTACGAGTTTTAGGCGGTACATTTAGAAGGAAAAGCTAGTCAGATGTTTTTTTTTCAATATAATATTGTCGTAATTTACAAAATATATATTCTATTTTAAACGATGCATCATGTAACCCAGTGCTACAGGTTTTCATTTATTTCTCTTTCCTGCTTTAAAGCAAAACAGTTGCCAATTAACTTGCATTTGTCAGTTAAATCATTAATACGTATTGATGTTTAAAATACACCAAATATTTCCACTTTCAGTCTCTATTATTGTTTCACCAGCGTTTACCGGACCTGGAAGCTCAATCCTGAATATGTGTGTCTCCTCTTCACTGCTTGCTAGAGGTTAGCGAGGCAGCAGAGGGAGCTCTTTACTAAATACCCGTTGCTGCATAGTTTCTCTCTTAATTAAGGTACAGTTTAAGTCTTATTTTAAGTGTTTCCTCAAGGTGAAGTAGAAGAGCTCCGTCCCCTTTACTCCGAGAGCTTCACTGCCTCTCAGCTCTGTTTTGAAAGGATAAAACTCGGAGGAAATCATCGTTAACTCTATAGGCGCTTTCACACCGGAGTACTTTTCCTGTTTAGTTCCGTTAGTGCCTGGAATTTTGCGTTCACACCAAAAAGAGAACTTAGTTCCGAGAACTTTTACTCCTATTTTTAGTGCCTGCTAGAGAGGTTGGACTATCCTGGGGAGAGAAAAGTACCAATTTCTATTGGCTATTGGCAAACCACGCCCCGTAAAACTCTGAAAAGCTTTGTGAAGCCGCCATTTCATTTGCTCGCATTAGCATTATTAGCATTAGCATTAGCCCAGCGCACCAACGGAGAGAGACTAACTTATGGCAACACCAAAGAAAACATGGGAGCGGTGGAGATGAGGAGATGAGGAGGTGTCGGCGTTCTGGCGATTTACTCGGAAGGCTTCAGTAGAAGCTGCTGGGAGTCCCAGCAGCTTCTACTGAAGCCAGTCCCCAACTCCGGGGACTTCCGGCCGGGGATTTCGGGCGGCAGTATACGCCGTGAAGGTGTTTGCGGCCTGCCAGTAAACCCAAAGCAGAAGAAGAAGAAGAAGTGACGTCAGCAGCTTCATTTGCGTAATCTTCCCTCAGGGAACTTATTCCGGTGTGAACGCGATCTGCTCTTTAGTTCCATGGGGGCACTAAGTGCTGGGAACTAAGTGCGGCAAAGTACTTGGTGTGAAAGCGGCTTATGTGTGTTTCATCGGAGTGTGTTTCATCGGAGTGTGTTTCATCGGAGTGTGTGTTTAATCGGAGTGTGTACTGACTGGTTGAGGAAGGCGAACAGGTATCTCATCACGATCAGAGTGGCCCTCGGGACGCCCAGCAGGATCTTACGGACACACTGAGCCCTCTCATACATGTTCTCTATTCCTGAAACACACACCAAAGAGCAGAGAGACGTCAACAACACAACAACACATCCGCAGAAATAAACAACAACATGTGGAACATCTCTGCTGAGGAGCAAAGAGTACGCTGAAGATACAAGAGATGCATGGGGTATTCACATGAAATACAATTATATAGAGGGTCATGTCGTTGTTTTTTTATATCTTAATCACCTTGGATTAATCTTTAATAATGGGCTCACTTTTAGATGTGAGTGAAATGGCCTGTAGGAGAGGTTAGCAACAGATAACACAAAGAAAAACGTATAAAATGTCAGTTTGTAATGATTTTGAAGGAACATTTATTCACTACTGTCAGAGGTATATAATGATATCTGTGGTGTGAGCGTGGACTTATGTATAGATATCTTATTTAGAAGACTTAGACAACTTAGAGATTCACACAGCTAACGATCATGTTTAGGATTACAATACGTTAGTGGAGGTTAGCTTAAATTCTGATACTAATGTTTACGCTCCAAAAAAGGTAGTTTACTCCTGATTTCTCTTTCTGAAAAATGCCATTTTAGAGTCAGAATATGTGGCTTATGAACTTAATACTTTGGTGACTCAAAGGCAGAGGAATTGTTCATTATTGATGACTCCTAATGTCTCCAAATAAACCTCAAATAAATCTTAAAGGGGACCCATCATGCAAAATGCACTTTTTGATGTCTTCTATACATCACTATGTGTCCCCGGTGTGTCGGGGAACTCACGCAGCGTCAGATAAAACCCTCTCTCTTTTCCTCCGTACCCAAATCTCTAAAAACTGGGAACAACGGAGCTGATCCAGATTTGCGTCCGATATGACGTCATATCTGAAATGTGGACCCACGGCCCAATCAGAAACGTTGCTATCAGAAACAATGCCCGACTGTTTTGGACGTAATATGGTCGGTGTTTACATTAGCATGGCTAACACTCAGAGCTAACCTGTACTGGAGAGCATGTGTGTGAAGAAGCAGGAAGTAAAAAGGAACTCACCTTGTGGTATAACCGCCAAGAGAGAAAGCCTTTGAGCTACATACTGTTTCAGAAATAATTAGGGACGTAACGATACCAAAAACTTAGGGTACGATAATATCGTGATAAAAAGTCCACGGTACGATATTTATCGCGATATTGAAAAATAAAGGAAAAAAAATGTGAATTTTTTTTAATTTATTAAATAATAAATCTCATTTGTGCAGCATTTTAGTAGGATAGTAGTATTTTAAAGTGTCAACAGTATAATAATCAGACCCTGCAATAGAATAAATGAAGTTTCACTTTAGTTTTTCAAGTAACTCAACTCTAACTCACTCACTCACTCACTCACTCACTCACTCACTCACTCACTCACTCACTCACTCACTCACTCACTCACTCACTCACTCACTCACTCACTCACTCACTCACTCACTCACTCACTCACTCACTCACTCACTCACTCACTCACTCACTCACTCACTCAGCATCGTCAAGGTTATCTTTTAGGAATATGAGCATGTCCACATTTCCAGGTAGAAGCTGGGATGTTTGGGCGTTTACAAAATCCCCTGCTGTGGAAACAACTCTCTCGCTTGGTACTGATGTTGCTGGGACAGAGAGATATGCTTTGGCCATGGGTGACAGCAGTGGGTCAAACTGTGCATTGTCTCTCCACCACTTCAACAACAATACAGTTGTTGCCAAGAAGGTGAGGCTTATTGACAGAGATATAAATATACTGTTGGTACTTGTCAATGTCTCTAGGTGTGTACATGTAGCCCTGTAAATACGATGTCCTTTATTGTTATCTGTTGTTTTATGTTCATGTTGTAACCTACTTGCTGCCATGTTGGACAGGTCTCGCTTGAAAAAGAGATCGATGATCTCAATGGGACCATCTGGTTGAATAAAGGTTTAAAAAAAAAAAATGTATTAAAAAAATCGCGGTAGATTTTGTCAGTCTCACGACGGTATTAAGACATTTATTTACCGCGATATTCGATATATCGTTACATCCCTAGAAAGAATCCTTGATAATCCATGATATGGCGTTTCATCACGGCAGCATTTAGTTTAGACCAGGGGTCTCAAACTCAAGGCCCGGGGGCCAAATCCGGCCCGCCACTTCATTTTATGTGGCCCGCAAGAGCTTGCAAATAATATAATAAGTTTATAATACAATATGCCCATAAACTACATGTCCCACAATGCATCTCGTTTTGTGACATGCGCACTGAAGAGACTTGCAATTATTTGCCCTGGACTTCTGCTTTCAGACGTAGTTAATTACTAAGTTATTATCCTATCTGATAATAATCCAATTCAGAGGCAATAATGTAATATAATACATTATTTTATATATATATTATATATTTATATAGTTACAACCGGCCCTTTGAGTGCAACCTTTATGCGAATGTGGCCCGCGATGAAATTGAGTTTGACACCGCTGGTTTAGACAGTAGATGCCGGGTCCCGCATGAGCTCAGACCCCTCCTCTTTTAAAGCTGTATCCCAAAATCAGCACTTTAGAAACAGGAAGTGAAATAGAGGGATATGAGGCATGGCTAGAATGATCTGTTTGGTGTTTGGAGCAAAACACTTTATAGACATGTTTTTATATATTTTTATATATCTGAGACCTTTGCTATTGCCTATAAATAGCACGATAGGTGACCTTTAAATGATGTGAGTGTTAGAGAGACGAGGGACTCACGGACGCAGGACAGCAGGTCATTGAACCTCTCTTTGGGGAACAGAGGGTTCTCTAAACCTCTGAAGTAAAGCTTCAACACCCCGGCCACAGAGTTGATGTCGTGGTTACTCTCCTCGTCGATCAGAGGGTCGTTTCCTTCAATAACAAACACACACAGAAAGAGAGGGAGAGTTAAACATGGAGCTGTGGAGGAAATTCAAAGAATCAAAGTCAACTTTCTTGTCAATCTTTCAGAGTGTGTACAGACAGAGAGATCGAAATACCGTTTCCCACAATCCCGAATACAAAAACAAATAACAATCTAACAGTTTAGTAAAAGGCAATCAGAGTATAAGACTATATGTTTTAAATGATTATATGATGACAGGCTCACCTCTCTCGAAGGAGTTCTTGATGTCGTTCACCTCGACCTGGGACCCCGACACCCGGAATATTCCCTGATGCTGCAGACCTGAGGGAACGAAGACAAGTATATAATGTTATTTATTCTATTTTCTTATTTATTTGTACTGATCACAGGGCTTTCAGGGTTCATCTGTGTGCATTTTGCTAATTATTTCTCTAAGATATCATTCCATTGACTTGTATATAGACTCTTCTTGCACTATTTGTATTTACTTGCACATCTCAAAACATTCTCTTGCACTATTTTATCTGTTCTATGTATATATATATATATATATATATATTCATGTTGACTTCAGTTTTCCATTGCCATGTCTACACTGTAGCTAATGTACACATGACAATAAAGCCTTGAATCTTCAACAAATTACTTTTAAGAACGTTTTAATACCAATTAAAATTCTATTTAATAGCTGTTTTACAACCATCACAACAATTATATAACGTTTATTAAATAGCACCTTTTAAAAACATACATTACAAAGAGTTTCCATGAGGAAAAATAAAAACAGAATCCAATATAATTGTAAGAAAACGAGAAAAAAACTCAATTACATTTTAAAATAATTGTAAAAGTGAATTTAAAAAAGTGTATTCTTAATAATAATGAATAATGTCCAAGGTATGAAAGTGTGAAACTAATCACAAGGTCAAATAAATAACACATCAATAGTCTCAATAATCCCATGGTATTAAAGGGACAGTGAACGCACCGTGCAGGTTGATGTAACGGATGCAGCTCTCCACAAGCAAGGGTATGGCTTTAGTTGAATCCTGAAAACACAACAACAACAACAACAACAGTTAGTTATTGTTTACGCTTCATTTGTTTATTTTAGTTCTGATGTTCTTATCGACTCTGACATGTTCTATCCTAAATGACTGAGACACGCCCCTCTTTCCCTGCACACGTTAAATAATCGACGACATTTATTTTCATTTTCCTTAAAGTTTGAAATGCTTTGACTTCCTAGAAAGATTTACATTTTGAATTGTTTCTTTCTAGTCTTCAATGCCTTGTCTTTTTATGCTGCTGCAACGCAAACATTTCCCAAATAAGGATCAATAAAATACTTTTATTTTTAAAAAACATCTCTCAAATATATAGAATTATATATGAATCCCTCTATAAGTACGCACGTCTCATCTCATGCCATCTTGTGGGTGTTTTTCACAGTATCGATGTATGACACGTCTAAATGTCATATAATTAGGGTTGGGTATCGTTTGGATTTTAACGATTCCGGTTCTGATTCCGGTTCTGCTTTTCGATTCCGGTTCTTTCCGGTTCTCGATTCCGGTTCTGATACCGGTTCTGCTTTTCGATTCCGGTTCTTTTCGGTTCTGATTCCGGTTCTGCTTTTCGATTCCGGTTCTTTCCGGTTCTCGATTCCGGTTCTTTGAGAGGGCAATTTCACTGGGAGAAAAATATATTTATGAAAACATTAAGTCATATCTGTATTCCTATTTACAAATCCCTTCATACGGTTTAATTTCGTTACGGTTATTGAATACAATTATATAAAAATAACCTCTGCATTGTTTAGTTAGTTCTAAGTGGTGCAGTTTGAGAATGCACAGTTAGCCCAGTCTCCTCTGACGTTGCACTGCAACCTGCCTGTGGGACAGAGTCCAACCACACATGTCCTGCAACACACATGCTGCTCACTGTTTGTAAAAGTACATCAATTGTATTTCATTTAAATAATGTACTTTCTATTGTGGGGGAAACTTCTGTAGCAATGGAGAGTCAGGACTCAGAGAGACACGAGGAGAGCTGGAGCTTTGATGAAGTCAGGACTCAGAGAGACACGAGGAGAGCTGGAGCTTTGACGGCAAACACTGACGGTTTATTTGGAGCTTCGGCCGGAGAATTCACAAGACATGTGGTGTGTCACGAGTTGACACAGCGGCTGCCAAACCAATTCTGAAGAACTCTTTCTGCAGCTCGAGGTTTTAATTAGTTCAGAGTGTAATAATCAACATTCTTTATCAGTGAGACTAAACAATTATGGACCCTGAATCTATAGAGCTCTCGTCCATAGAGAAGTGTGCGTCAGGGAACCTTCGTCCCTGAACAGTAAACTACCTCATGGCGGCTTGTGCTCCGTCATAGACTGGCAACAACAATGCGCCCAAGCTCCCCCTCCTTAAGAGAGATAGCAGCAATACCCCAGGCCGTAGACCTTCCATGGGGAGAGAGACAGTGAGAGGAGAAAACGATGAACCGTGTCGAAGGTTGAATACCTAAGCAAATGATTCCCTAACATCTATACCCTGCTTCATAAACAATACTGACATCCCTGCGCTCCTCCGAGTCTGTCTCACAGTCCGGGGATGTGAGGACAGCGCGAGGACACAGACCGGGAGGCTGGTTCACTTCATAAAGGAAATGGCGGTCAATATTACAGCTTAGGAATATAAAGAAACCACTGCCTGTGGTTTAATGTGGACTATAAAAGAGGAACAGACCCCCCTGATGACCACAAACACACAGACACAAAGGAGAGTCTACCTGATGCTTGCTATGGGAGTTCTTCCGCCCACGACTGAAACAATCAGAGAGAGACAGAGTGAGAAACGAACAATTTGTATTAATATGAAATATATGAAAATACAGCATGACAGAATACCTGGTGGTGAGCAGCTCGGCTTTATATCCTTCAGGAGAAACACAGGTAAAGAGTTAAGGGGATTCACGTCTGTATTATTATTACATCTGACGAGGAAGAGGAGGGTCTCACCTTCGGCTAAAGCTTTCTTCAGGATGTCGTGTTTGGCCTGCAGCTTCGAGATCAGGTTGCTTCCCTCCAGATACTCGCGGAATTTCTAAGGATTTAAAAAGTAGTTTCTCTCTTAGTTAAAGTAGAGTTTAAGTGTTATACTAAGTGTTTCTCACGGTGAAGTAGAAGAGCTCCGTCTCCTGCTGGTTGGTTTCTCTCTAAGTTAAGGTAGAGTTGAAGTGTTATACTAAGTGTTTCTCACGGTGAAGTAGAAGAGCTCTGTCTCCTGCTGGTTAGTTTCTCTCTTAGTTAAGGTACAGTTTAAGTCTTATACTAAGTGTTTGTTTCTCATTGTGAAGTAAAAGAGCTCCGTCTCCTGCTGGTTAGTATCTCTCTCAGTTAAGGTACAGTTTAAGTGTTTCTCACGGTGAAGAAGAAGAGCTCTGTCTCCTGCTGGTTAGTTTCTCTCTTAGTTAAGGTACAGTTTAAGTCTTATCCTAAGTGTTTCTCACGGTGAAGTAGAAGAGCTCCGTCTCCTGCTGGTTAGTATCTCTCTCAGTTAAGGTACAGTTTAAGTGTTTCTCAGGGTGAAGTAGAAGAGCTCCGTCTCCTGCTGGTTAGTTTCTCTCTTAGTTAAGGTACAGTTTAAGTCTTATCCTAAGTGTTTCTCAGGGTGAAGTAGGAGAGCTCCGTCTCCTGCTGGTTAGTTTCTCTCTTAGTTAAGGTACAGTTTAAGTGTTTCTTACGGTGAAGTAGAAGAGCTCCGTCTCCTGCTGGTTAGTTTCTCTCTTAGTTAAGGTACAGTTTAAGTGTTTCTCACAGTGAAGTAGAGGAGCTCCGTCTCCTGCTGGTTAGTTTCTCTCTTAGTTAAGGTACAGTTTAAGTCTTATCCTAAGTGTTTCTCACGGTGAAGTAGAGGAGCTCCGTCTCCTGCTGGTTAGTTTCTCTCTTAGTTAAGGTACAGTTTAAGTCTTATCCTAAGTGTTTCTCACGGTGAAGTAGAAGAGCTCCGTCTCTTGCTGGTTAGTTTCTCTCTTAGTTAAGGTAAAGTTTAAGTGTTTCTCACGGTGAAGTAGAAGAGCTCCATCTCCTGCTGGTTAGTTTCTCTCTTAGTTAAGGTACAGTTTAAGTCTTATCCTTAGTGTTTCTCACGGTAAAGTAGGAGAGCTCCGTCTCCTGCTGGTTAGTATCTCTCTTCGTTAAGGTACAGTTTAAGTGTTTCTCACGGTGAAGAAGAAGAGCTCTGTCTCCTGCTGGTTAGTTTCTCTCTTAGTTAAGGTACAGTTTAAGTGTTATACTAAGTGTTTCTCACAGTGAAGTAGAAGAGCTCTGTCTCCTGCTGATTAGTTTCTCTCTTAGTTTAGTTACAGTTTAAGTCTTATACAAAGTGTTTCTCACGGTGAAGTAGAAGAGCTCCGTCTCCTGCTGGTTAGTTTCTCTCTTAGTTAAGGTACAGTTTAAGTGTTTCTCACAGTGAAGTAGAAGAGCTCCGTCTCCTGCTGGTTAGTTTATCTCTTAGTTAAGGTACAGTTTAAGTCTTATACTAAGTGTTTCTCACAGTGAAGTAGAAGAGCTCCGTCTCCTGCTGGTTAGTTTCTCTCTTAGTTAAGGTACAGTTTAAGTGTTTCTCAGGGTGAAGTAGAAGAGCTCCGTCTCCTGCTGGTTAGTTTCTCTCTTAGTTAAGGTACAGTTTAAGTGTTTCTCAGAGTGAAGTAGAAGAGCTCCGTCACCTGCTGGTTAGTTTCTCTCTTAGTTAAGGTACAGTTTAAGTCTTATACTAAGTGTTTCTCACGGTGAAGTAGAAGAGCTCCATCTCCTGCTGGTTAGTTTCTCTCTTAGTTAAGGTACAGTTTAAGTGTTTCTCAGGGTGAAGTAGAAGAGCTCCGTCTCCTGCTGGTTAGTTTCTCTCTTAGTTAAGGTACAGTTTAAGTCTTATCCTTAGTGTTTCTCACGGTAAAGTAGGAGAGCTCCGTCTCCTGCTGGTTAGTTTCTCTCTTAGTTAAGGTACAGTTTAAGTGTTTCTCACGGTAAAGTAGGAGAGCTCCGTCTCCTGCTGGTTAGTTTCTCTCTCAGTTAAGGTACAGTTTAAGTGTTTCTCACGGTGAAGTAGAGGAGCTCCGTCTCCTGCTGGTTAGTTTCTCTCTTAGTTAAGGTGCAGTTTAAGTCTTATCCTAAGTGTTTCTCACGGTGAAGTAGAAGAGCTCCGTCTCCTGCTGGTTAGTTTCTCTCTTAGTTAAGGTAAAGTTTAAGTGTTTCTCACGGTGAAGTAGAAGAGCTCCGTCTCCTGCTGGTTAGTTTCTCTCTTAGTTAAGGTACAGTTTAAGTCTTATCCTTAGTGTTTCTCACGGTAAAGTAGGAGAGCTCCGTCTCCTGCTGGTTAGTTTCTCTCTTAGTTAAGGTAAAGTTTAAGTGTTTCTCACGGTGAAGTAGAAGAGCTCCGTCTCCTGCTGGTTAGTTTCTCTCTTAGTTAAGGTACAGTTTAAGTGTTTCTCACGGTGAAGTAAAAGAGCTCTGTCTCCTGCTGGTTAGTTTCTCTCTTAGTTAAGGTACAGTTTAAGTCTTATCCTAAGTGTTTCTCACGGTGAAGTAGAAGAGCTCCGTCTCCTGCTGGTTAGTTTCTCTCTTAGTTAAGGTACAGTTTAAGTGTTATCCTTAGTGTTTCTCACGGTGAAGTAGAAGAGCTCCGTCTCCTGCTGGTTAGTTTCTCTCTTAGTTAAGGTACAGTTTAAGTGTTTCTCACAGTGAAGTAGAAGAGCTCCGTCTCCTGCTGGTTAGTTTATCTCTTAGTTAAGGTACAGTTTAAGTCTTATACTAAGTGTTTCTCACAGTGAAGTAGAAGAGCTCCGTCTCCTGCTGGTTAGTTTCTCTCTTAGTTAAGGTACAGTTTAAGTGTTTCTCAGGGTGAAGTAGAAGAGCTCCGTCTCCTGCTGGTTAGTTTCTCTCTTAGTTAAGGTACAGTTTAAGTGTTTCTCAGAGTGAAGTAGAAGAGCTCCGTCACCTGCTGGTTAGTTTCTCTCTTAGTTAAGGTACAGTTTAAGTCTTATACTAAGTGTTTCTCACGGTGAAGTAGAAGAGCTCCATCTCCTGCTGGTTAGTTTCTCTCTTAGTTAAGGTACAGTTTAAGTGTTTCTCAGGGTGAAGTAGAAGAGCTCCGTCTCCTGCTGGTTAGTTTCTCTCTTAGTTAAGGTACAGTTTAAGTCTTATCCTTAGTGTTTCTCACGGTAAAGTAGGAGAGCTCCGTCTCCTGCTGGTTAGTTTCTCTCTTAGTTAAGGTACAGTTTAAGTGTTTCTCACGGTAAAGTAGGAGAGCTCCGTCTCCTGCTGGTTAGTTTCTCTCTCAGTTAAGGTACAGTTTAAGTGTTTCTCACGGTGAAGTAGAGGAGCTCCGTCTCCTGCTGGTTAGTTTCTCTCTTAGTTAAGGTAAAGTTTAAGTGTTTCTCACGGTGAAGTAGAAGAGCTCCGTCTCCTGCTGGTTAGTTTCTCTCTTAGTTAAGGTACAGTTTAAGTCTTATCCTTAGTGTTTCTCACGGTAAAGTAGGAGAGCTCCGTCTCCTGCTGGTTAGTTTCTCTCTTAGTTAAGGTAAAGTTTAAGTGTTTCTCACGGTGAAGTAGAAGAGCTCCGTCTCCTGCTGGTTAGTTTCTCTCTTAGTTAAGGTACAGTTTAAGTGTTTCTCACGGTGAAGTAAAAGAGCTCTGTCTCCTGCTGGTTAGTTTCTCTCTTAGTTAAGGTACAGTTTAAGTCTTATCCTAAGTGTTTCTCACGATGAAGTAGAAGAGCTCCGTCTCCTGCTGGTTAGTTTCTCTCTTAGTTAAGGTACAGTTTAAGTGTTATCCTTAGTGTTTCTCACGGTGAAGTAGAAGAGCTCCGTCTCCTGCTGGTTAGTTTCTCTCTTAGTTAAGGTACAGTTTAAGTGTTTCTCACAGTGAAGTAGAAGAGCTCCGTCTCCTGCTGGTTAGTTTATCTCTTAGTTAAGGTACAGTTTAAGTCTTATACTAAGTGTTTCTCACAGTGAAGTAGAAGAGCTCCGTCTCCTGCTGGTTAGTTTCTCTCTTAGTTAAGGTACAGTTTAAGTGTTTCTCAGGGTGAAGTAGAAGAGCTCCGTCTCCTGCTGGTTAGTTTCTCTCTTAGTTAAGGTACAGTTGAAGTGTTTCTCAGAGTGAAGTAGAAGAGCTCCGTCACCTGCTGGTTAGTTTCTCTCTTAGTTAAGGTACAGTTTAAGTCTTATACTAAGTGTTTCTCACGGTGAAGTAGAAGAGCTCCATCTCCTGCTGGTTAGTTTCTCTCTTAGTTAAGGTACAGTTTAAGTGTTTCTCAGGGTGAAGTAGAAGAGCTCCGTCTCCTGCTGGTTAGTTTCTCTCTTAGTTAAGGTACAGTTTAAGTCTTATCCTTAGTGTTTCTCACGGTAAAGTAGGAGAGCTCCGTCTCCTGCTGGTTAGTTTATCTCTTAGTTAAGGTACAGTTTAAGTCTTATCCTTAGTGTTTCTCACGGTAAAGTAGGAGAGCTCCGTCTCCTGCTGGTTAGTTTCTCTCTTAGTTTAGGTACAGTTTAAGTGTTTCTCACGGTGAAGTAGAAGAGCTCCGTCTCCTGCTGGTTAGTTTCTCTCTCAGTTAAGGTACAGTTTAAGTGTTTCTCACGGTGAAGTAGAGGAGCTCCGTCTCCTGCTGGTTAGTTTCTCTCTTAGTTAAGGTGCAGTTTAAGTCTTATCCTAAGTGTTTCTCACGGTGAAGTAGAAGAGCTCCGTCTCCTGCTGGTTAGTTTCTCTCTTAGTTAAGGTAAAGTTTAAGTGTTTCTCACGGTGAAGTAGAAGAGCTCCGTCTCCTGCTGGTTAGTTTCTCTCTTAGTTAAGGTACAGTTTAAGTCTTATCCTTAGTGTTTCTCACGGTAAAGTAGGAGAGCTCCGTCTCCTGCTGGTTAGTTTCTCTCTTAGTTAAGGTAAAGTTTAAGTGTTTCTCACGGTGAAGTAGAAGAGCTCCGTCTCCTGCTGGTTAGTTTCTCTCTTAGTTAAGGTACAGTTTAAGTGTTTCTCACGGTGAAGTAGAAGAGCTCTGTCTCCTGCTGGTTAGTTTCTCTCTTAGTTAAGGTACAGTTTAAGTGTTTCTCACGGTGAAGTAGAAGAGCTCCGTCTCCTGCTGGTTAGTTTCTCTCTTAGTTAAGGTACAGTTTAAGTCTTATCCTAAGTGTTTCTCACGGTGAAGTAGAAGAGCTCCGTCTCCTGCTGGTTAGTTTCTCTCTTAGTTAAGGTACAGTTTAAGTGTTATCCTTAGTGTTTCTCACGGTGAAGTAGAAGAGCTCCGTCTCCTGCTGGTTAGTTTCTCTCTTAGTTAAGGTACAGTTTAAGTCTTATCCTTAGTGTTTCTCACGGTAAAGTAGGAGAGCTCCGTCTCCTGCTGGTTAGTTTCTCTCTTAGCTAAGGTACAGTTTAAGTGTTTCTCACGGTGAAGTAGAAGAGCTCCGTCTCCTGCTGGTTAGTTTCTCTCTTAGCTAAGGTACAGTTTAAGTGTTTCTCACGGTGAAGTAGAAGAGCTCTGTCTCCTGCTGGTTAGTTTCTCTCTTAGCTAAGGTACAGTTTAAGTGTTTCTCACGGTGAAGTAGAAGAGCTCCGTCTCCTGCTGGTTAGTTTCTTTCTTAACTAAGGTACAGTTTAAGTGTTTCTCACGGTGAAGTAGAAGAGCTCCGTCTCCTGCTGGTTGGCTCTCTTCTTGGCGAGGCTCGGTTTGTTCAGATATCCGTCCGACACGCTGGACTTCACGGACTCGGAGGACGGGCTGTGAGTGAAGCTCTGAGAAACATCGAAGTCCTCGAGAACCGTCATGTCCTGCAGAGTGGAGAGGGTCGCCCCCCACGTCTTCTTCACCTGGATAAAAGATAAGGGTTAAAACATTGAATGCACCAATGAGCAGAGATCGTAGAAGTACACACATCCTTTACTCAAGTAGAAGTACAGATACTCGTGTTTAAAATACTCTGGTGAAAGTAGAAGTACTGACTAAACTTCTTTACTCAAGTCAAAGCAAAGAACTTGAAATGTAATTCAGTAAAAAGTCCCCATAACTAGCAGCTGTTTTAAAGAGTACCTGACCTCCCTTTATATGAATAGAACAATAATGTCATTGTTAGCTAATGAATGTTTCCATGCTGAACAACGGCAACATGACAACGTTTCCATTGGTCCCTCTTCTTTAGAGAAGACCAGGAAATGATGGATACACGGATCGTGTTCAAATCAATCGGCACGCAATGACTCTAAAAGTACAGGTATTTGTGTTCAACATGTAAGAAGTAGAAAGTACAGGTATTTGTGTTCAAATGTAAGAAGTAGAAAGTACAGGTATTTGAGATCAACATGTAAGAAGTAGAAAGTACAGGTATTTGTGTTCAACATGTAAGAAGTAGAAAGTTCAGGTATTTGTGTTTAACATGTAAGAAGTAGAAAGTACAGGTATTTGGGTTCAACATGTGAGAAGTAGAAAGTACAGGTATTTGTGTTCAACATGTAAGAAGTAGAAAGTACAGGTATTTGAGTTCAACATGTGAGAAGTAGAAAGTACAGGTATTTGTGTTCAACATGTAAGAAGTAGAAAGTACAGGTATTTAGGTTCAACATGTAAGAAGTAGAAAGTACAGGTATTTGAGTTCAACATGTAAGAAGTAGAAAGTACAGGTATTTGAGTTCAACATGTAAGAAGTAGAAAGTACAGGTATTTGAGTTCAACATGTAAGAAGTAGAAAGTACAGGTATTTGTGTTCAACATGTAAGAAGTAGAAAGTACAGGTATTTGGGTTCAACATGTAAGAAGTAGAAAGTACAGGTATTTGGGTTCAACATGTAAGAAGTAGAAAGTATTTTTGTATTTTATTATATGTTGCATTGTTGGAGGAGCTCAGGACAGAAGAATGTCATTGCAATTTCTAAACTGTAGCTTATGTTCATATGACAATAAAACCTATGAATTGAATTTTTAGTAGAAGAAAGGTGGCTTTTAGCCGTAATGCTGTATTAAAGGACGACTAAACTGCACTGAGCTTCATGCTTCAGGAGGTATGAATTATGAATTAAATTCACGGTGGAGTTTCATTTTGCATAACCTTTGATGGTGTGTGTGTTTATGCCTGCTACATATGCAAAGTGTGTTTGTATTTACAGCGAGGATAATGGGTGTAAAAGAGCTCCTATTTGTACATGATAAGCAGTGTGTGTGTGTGTGTGTGTGTGTGTGTGTGTGTTGCTGAGGCGTGCAGATGCTGCTCATTAATCCAGACTCCTTCAGCATTTTTATAACCTTCAGGCTGAGTTAGCAGCTGCACACACACACACACACACACACACACACACACACACACACACACACACACACACACACACACACACACACACACACACACACACACAGCTTGCTGCTACATTATTACCCATTATAACAGTATAAATTACCACGACTGTGCAGTTTTTAAATGTCAGATTAACATTTTATTTTGTAATCAGAGGGTTTTTAGCTTCTACAATGTCTTTGTTTAACACTTAAGGGGACACACAGCCCACATTTTTTTATTATTATTTAATTATTTACACTAACAAGTGTAAATGAACGGCCCACATTGGCCTCCTTTAGCTTAGCGGTGGTGACCTGAAGTCATGTGACCGTGCTGTAGTTCCTTTATAGCCACCTTATCCCGCTGAACAAAGGACTCCAACATCCCTGCACCACTCGACATCTGTATCATTTGGTGTGTTAGTGTGTGTGTGTGTGTTACCTCTTCGTTCTCGATCTTCAGGGAGGCGAGGCGTGTCTGCAGCTGAGTGAGACGCAGCGTGAGCTCGGCCTGCAGCTGAGGCTGGGAGGCGATCTGGGTCACCTGAAAGGAAGTGAAACAAGCAGGACATTAATCACTGTCCAGAGAAAATATAATATATTGATATCTATTGATATGTGTTGTAAGGTGAATAATATAGTGCAATAACTTAAAGCTCACCTATTATGCTATATTAGAACCATATATTATGGGACCATATCTATAAAAACATGTCTCTGAAGTGTTTTGCTCAAAATACCAAACAGATCATTCTAGCCTCAAACCCCTCTATTTCAGCTGTTACTAAAGTGCTGATTCTGGGTACTAGCTCTGGGGCCACGCCCCCTTTGAGCTACTGACTGCAGAGAGAGAGAAGCCGAAACTCAGCTAAATTCAGCCGTGATGAAACGCCATCATGTTCCAAACCACATCAAGGATTACTTCTGAAACAGTATGGAGCTCAAAGGCTTTTTCTCTCTCAGGTTATACCACAAGGTGAGTTCCTTTTTACTTCCTGCTTCTTCACACACATGCTCTCCAGTACAGGTTAGCTCTGAGTGTTAGCGATGCTAATGTGAACACCGACCATATTATGTCCAAAACAGTCGGGCATTGTTTCTGATAGGGCTGTGGGTGTAAAGCCAGCCTACATTTCAGATATTACGTCATATTGGACGCAAATCTGGATCAGCTCCGTTGTTCCCCCGTTTTTAGAGATTTGGGTACGGAGGAAAAGAGAGGGTTTTATTTTCTGATGCTGCGTGAGTTCCCTGACACACCGGGGACACATGTTGATGTAGAAAAGACATCACAAAGTGCATTTTGCATGATAGGTCCCCTTTAAGTAACGTTTATGTATCTGGATACCAATTTATAAAAAGGCAGAGAACTAGTTTCTAATAAAGTAAAGTGTGATACTGACTGCGTCTCCCATGTGTGACTGGAAGCTGAATCGTGCGGGGGGGCAGAAGGCGGTGGGGTAGAGGCCCAGCAGACGCTGCCGGTCCCGGGCTGGATCCAGACCCTCCACCGCCCCCTCCAGAACCTCCAGGCCCGCCCGCCTCGAGGCCTCCAGGCTCAGCTCTGCAGACAGGTAGGTCCTCAGGGCCCGGCTCAGACTGGAGTGGTACCCTAGGTCACAGCACTGGGGAGAAGAACCAGAACCCTTCAAATATACACATACATTTCACTTTATTTATCCAAAGGGAAAGTGGGTTTTAGTGACAGCTGCTCTACTTTAGATTGAAATAAATAAAATAGACATTAAGTTAAGTTAAAGTAAGGTCACAGCAATCGGGAAAAGATTCTCATTTAAACATATTTTTTGGCCTTTTTCTAATATTTTTTGGGATGGCTATACATACTAAATATTACATTTTATTTATCCCAAGTGTTACGACTGTATATGTTTATTTTTTGGGTCAGTGGTGGAATGTTAGCCCCATAGGGCCTCCTACGGGTGGGGTGTAACACAAGGGAAAGTGGGCTCCATTAAAGTTGATGAATCAATTTTAACGCATACAATTGAAGATACATATTTTTGAAAGAAATTGAATAATATTATTTATATAAACGTAAGCAGTTAAAGACAAAAAGTGCATAGACAAAATAAAAATATTTAGGACACCCAAAGAAAAAGTAAGAATGTGCAGAAGAAATACAATACATAAATATATATAAACACAAGAAGTTAAAGAAAGAATATGTAAACAATAAAAAGATAAAATACAAATATTTCTCTAAGAATATGCAATATCTAAAATACAAATATGTAGGAAAACACGAATAGAATTTAAAATATTTATATTAACTCAAAGTAAAAATGTGTAAATAAAATATGTATAAGATCCAGAGCTTTTAATGACTGCTTTAAAATGTATTTCAATGCAATTATAAAATGGGTTTCTTAGCAGTATCTTAGTTTTAAAGCACTCTGAATTGCCTTGTTGTTGAATGATGCCTTTTTATACCTGCAGAGAATCATCGCAGCGTGAAAGAAGGTTTGTCGAAGCAGAAGGAACAGTTTCTACTTTCTGCTCCAGCAACTTCAAACAGGACATTTCATTCAACTTTAATAGATCCTTTTTGAGTCCTTTAGGACAGCATTTGAACTTGTGACGGTGTTCCCGTTTCCTCTGCTCCATGAATGAATAAAATAAAGAGTGTCTCACGTCGATGATGTCTGGCAGGTCGTGGATGTAGTATTTGAAGACGGAGGCGTTGGTGGCCTCGAGAGTCAGAAGATACTCGTTCCTCGCCTTCAGAGTCTTCAGTTTGTTCTCAGAGTACTTCGCCTTCCTCTGGGGGAGAAACAAACACACATTATCAGCTAAAAACATTAACCAGCTTAAAGAAAGATTAGCTGTCAGTCCCCGTCTCACTGGAATCAGGAATATTGGAGGGTTAGGGATATAGTTTATATATTGTATTTAAATAATAAATATGGGATAGAAAAGTAAAAATGTGAATGAATCAGTGTTTAACGATTGTTTCCTCCGTTGCAGTGAAACATGTCTGCCGTTCAGATAATTAACCGTCCCTACCTTCTCCCTCATCTTCTCCATCTTGCGGGCGGCGTTGCGTCTCTGATGGCGCTCCTCGATCCTGAGTCCGAACACAGGCTCCGCCCCCCCGGATCCCCCCGCCCCCTTCACGCGGCCCTCCTGACGCTCCGCCTCCCGCAGCTTGGACTCCGCGCTGATCGTCTCCACGTGGTACATGTGGTACGTCTTCATCACCTGGGAGCATAAGGACATTATAACTAAATTAGTAACATCACGTCGTTCATTCATCAAATTAAGTGAGGTCTTTTTTTGGCCCCATCAAAATGTTTTGGATTGATACAGTATCTAAGAAATAGATGTAATGATAATATGTAATATGCTTGTTTAAAAAATGAAATAACTATGTTTATATATATATTCGAAATTATTCAGGTATGAGAATATGAGAATATGAGTTATGAATATTTGTATTGTAATTATTTTTATTTTTTTTGGGAGGGGGGCCTACGTTGATTACATATTATCCAATGGAATAATTCAATGTATACGACAGCGCCATAGCTAAGTGTGTCAGGTCTAAAGGTGTGTTTTGCTCCGCTCACCGGTCCCTCACAGCGGGCAGAGCTGCAGGTGCTGATCTCTCTCTCTCTCTCTCTTCTCTCTCTCTCTCTCCCTCTCTCTCTCTCTCTCTCTCTCCTCCATTCTCTCTCTCCTCTCGTCTAGTCCATATCATCTATAGCTCTTGCGCATCGCGAGATCTGCATGCTCTCGCTACTCCTCTCTCTCTGCTTATCTCTCTATCTGCTCTCTTCTCTTCTCTCTGCTCCTTCTCTCTCTCTCTCTCTCTCCTCTCCTCTCTCTTCCGTTCATACTTCACTCGGTTTATGTCCAAATCCCATCAGAAATCTAGCCTAGCTAATGTATGGTCTGCTGCCCCTCCCTACACAGGCAGATTCACGTAGACTCAAACCTCATCTTATGCCCACATTCCAGCTGAGAGGGTCTTCTCTACAGCTGGCCTGGTTGTGAATCGCCTCTCCCCTGAGTAGACACGCTCATATTCTTAAAGAAGAATGAGTATTGAATAGCTGCATTCTGTGCATAGCCCTGTTATAGGTTGTTGATCTCTGTTGTCACGGGTTACGTTACCCTAACCCGCTATGTTGTTCGTGTATGGCACTGTGAGTGTCTGAGGAAGAGCTTTCAGACCTTAAAATCTTAGGTTTGTCGACAAAACAACAACAAATGTGTTTAGACTTGTTAAAGACCAGAGGCCTGTACTACGAAGCCGGATTTTTGCTTAGCGAGCTAACTTCAGGGAAAACTCTGGGTTTCCGGTCCTACGACGCTGGTTAACTTCTTAGAAGTATTATTTTAAGCAACACATTAAGTTGAGGAAACACTCAAGTCAAATGTAATTAAAGTCAGATCGTGTCTTGGACGGGGCAGTGATATCATAAACCTGTTAATGTACGCATTCAAACACTTGTTCTGTTACCAGCTGTATTCACCTTGCAGGTGCAGCTCTGTGGCTTTGATCCTGGATCAAGTGTTTGAGTCATGGATGTTTAAAGTTTAACTTCTTCATATGTCTAATATTATAGTTGACTTTTCATTCAACTATAGCGAGAGCGCGTTTGTTTTGGATTAGGTAAGCCGGGCAACTCAAACATATCCAGGTTAGGTTGAACCGTCTTCGTAGTACAGGCCACTGATATAAGGACATTAGAAATGTTCTCCGTGTGTTGAATCTACTCACGGTGTAAAGCTCGTTGAGAAGCTTCATGAGGTCTTCCTGCAGCTGGAAGATGATCTCCTTACTCTGAAAGAAGAGGGGAAAATACATTATTAAAGAGGCCCTATTGTGTTCTCTCTCCTGTAGTGTGTAGAAATGTGTTCTATAGGTTTTAGTGCATGTAAATGGTCTGTGAAGGCTAAAAGTTTCAGAAAATAGCATCACTGTGTAACACTCGCACGACAACAACTACTGATATACACCTGAACATCAGCAGGAGAGGACTCTTTAAAGTAGAGACACTACATACTGATATACACCTGAACATCAGCAGGAGAGGACTCTTTAAAGTAGAGACACTACATACTGATATACACCTGAACATCAGCAGGAGAGGACTCTTTAAAGTAGAGACACTACATACTGATATACACCTGAAACATCAGCAGGGGAGGACTCTTTAAAGTAGAGACACTACATACTGATATACACCTGAACATCAGCAGGAGGAGGACTCTTTAAAGTAGAGACACTACATACTGATATACACCTGAACATCAGCAGGAGAGGACTCTTTAAAGTAGAGACACTACATACTGATATACACCTGAACATCAGCAGGAGAGGACTCTTTAAAGTAGAGACAACCTACATACTGATATACACCTGAACATCAGCAGGAGAGGGACTCTTAAAGTAGAGACACTACATACTGATATACACCTGAACATCAGCAGGAGAGGACTCTTTAAAGTAGAGACACTACATACTGATATACACCTGAACATCAGCAGGAGAGGACTCTTTAAAGTAGAGACACTACATACTGATATACACCTGAACATCAGCAGGAGAGGACTCTTTAAAGTAGAGACACTACATACTGATATACACCTGAACATCAGCAGGAGAGGACTCTTTAAAGTAGAGACACTACATACTGATATACACCTGAACATCAGCAGGAGAGGACTCTTTAAAGTAGAGACACTACACACTGATATACACCTGAACATCAGCAGGAGAGGACTCTTTAAAGTAGAGACACTACATACTGATATACACCTGAACATCAGCAGGAGAGGACTCTTTAAAGTAGAGACACTACATACTGATATACACCTGAACATCAGCAGGAGAGGACTCTTTAAAGTAGAGACACTACATACTGATATACACCTGAACATCAGCAGGAGAGGACTCTTTAAAGTAGAGACACTACATACTGATATACACCTGAACATCAGCAGGAAGAGGACTCTTTAAAGTAGAGACACTACATACTATATACACCTGAACATCAGCAGGAGAGGACTCTTTAAAGTAGAGACACTACATACTGATATACACCTGAACATCAGCAGGAGAGGACTCTTTAAAGTAGAGACACTACATACTGATATACACCTGAACATCAGCAGGAGAGGACTCTTTAAAGTAGAGACACTACATACTGATATACACCTGAACATCAGCAGGAGAGGACTCTTTAAAGTAGAGACACTACATACTGATATACACCTGAACATCAGCAGGAGAGGACTCTTTAAAGTAGAGACACTACATACTGATAAAGTAATTCCTCCATAAAGAATCAGTTCAATCTCAGAGCTTCGTCTCCTGCTTTAAACAGCTTTCAGTATTAATATTACATTATGATAAAACGACTATGATTCCCATCCCTCGTTCCCATGGTGCCTGCTGAGAATCAGCTGAGCCCGTTGCCATGGCCACAGGGCTGTCGCCGTTGTCATGGCGTCTCCTCCTTAGCGCAGTGTGTGTGTGTGATGGAGGTCTTTCCGTTTATAGCCGCTGCACTTTAGTCGGGATGAATAAAAAACGAGCCGGAGGAACGATTAATAATGAACGCAGAGAGCTAAAGTTAGAGTGTGTGTGTATGTGTGTGTGTGTATATATGTGTGTGTGTGTGTGTGTGTGTGTATATGTGTGTGTGTTGTGTTAAACTCTGACGAGGCAGCAGAGAAAACCCCAGGGGAAAACAGACTTTACTTTTCATTAAAATCAACGAGTGCTTCAAATAAAAAGCCTCCAGCTCAGCAACACTAAAGTGCTTTCACTTCACTTGGGTATTTTTACTGTCAAATGATCATATAATCATTTAAATCATATATATAGATTATGTCGTATACTCTGATTGCCTTTTACTCGGTTAAATAGTAGTTTTAGTTCATTAATCATTTATCAGTTTCTCTGAAGGGA